AAGCCACCAGGTCCGGGACGCGAACCGCGATCGACGGCGTGGGAGTCCAGCGACATAGCCAGTACACTAACTGCTGGTTTCCAAATAAAATAATTCTTAAAAAAAAAAATGAGAGAGAGAGCCTCAGGTACACCGTAACCTCTCAGCTAACACAAGACTGGCTGATTAGAGGCCCGATCTGTAAGGGGGTAAGAGAACATCCAGGTGCCTTCACAATGGGGAGTCAGCAGAGGCCAGAGAGGCTGTGTGCTCTTCCCAAAGTCAGTGTGCTCAAACCCGCGTCCAGGGCCTGACCCAGAGCCCCTCTGTGCCCTCCTGGCACGTCAAAGAACCAAGCTCGGGGCCGGAGTCCCCTGCTCGCTCTCTGCAGCAAGCACCCGAGCCTGCGAACCCGGCGTGACCGCACCACTCCTCCCCCGCCCCAAGGTGCTGGCTCCACCTCCCTGACGTGCTACCCCTTCCTCTCCCCGTTCCGTTCTCCAGCCAGCCGTGTGGCACCCTGGAAGCTAAAACCGCACACTGGAAGCGTCAGACGCGGCGAAGTCTCAGGAGACTGGTGAAGGGCTTCACCCCTCACGCCGTGCACACCTTCCTTCCGTGCCAAGAGACCGGGTCCCCTCAGCCCCAGTGGCGCCGTCTGTCCAGGCGCACCCTTGGGTCAGGCCACCCTGCCCAGTGCTGCATGTCAGCTTCCCCTGCCCCAGCTTGTCTCCACTTCCCGCTGTGCGTCCCGGGCTCGGGTTCTGGGTTCCAGACTCCCCACAGCCCACTTCCGCACACAGAGGATGGTGGGTACTCCCTGGAGTTCCTGCGTGATGCCGAGCGGGTCTGCACGTAACCGCGAGCCCCTGTTGAGACCCCAGGACCATCTCCCCGCCGTTCGGATGCACGACTGCACGGCGTTGCTGCCCTGTCCTTCTCCCACTTCCGCATTCTCTCTAGAAGCGCGTCACCAACCTGCCCCGCTTTATACACAGAAAGCCACGGAGAGAAAGAACAGTAACGCCAGCGACTCGAGCCTCCGAGGAAAGAGCTCGTGCCAGCGGGGCCTCGGGACCCACCTCCAAGGCCTCTCTCCTCTTCTGAGTGAGCGTCCCCAGCCTGTCCCACTGGTCACAGATTCTCTGGCACCGATCGTTGACATTCACGGCGTCGTGGTAGTCCAGCTCACTAGAAACGAAGAGAAGTAAACACCAGCCTTCACACGGGGCACTGGGCACGGCTCAAGGCAGACAGGCAGGCCAGAGGGAGAGCTGCACCCCAGCGCTCCCTGCCTCACCGCGGACCAGGCCCTCTCCTCGGTAAGCCACAGGGCTGTCAGTAAAGGCTTCCTGGTGGCAGTCCCCACGGCACCGCGGGCTCCTCGGCGAGGGCTGACCTGCCCTCGCTCTCTTGGAAAAGCTCCCGCGAGCTGAGTGCTGAGTGACCGTGCCCCAGAAAAGAAGCTACTGCCTGAGCTGCAGCAGGCCTGCAGGCCAGGCCACACCCAGCACAGGTGTCGAGATCAGTCAGCCGGCACCCGCTGGGCCTCAGCTCTCCTGGAAGGGAACGCGGCCACAGAGCATCCCGGCCAGAGGGGTGGGGGTCGGCGCATGTTCCAGCACGGAGGGACTTCTAGCGGGACAGAACTGAGCCCGGCCCCGAGGGACAGCAGAGCCCGGCCTTCACACCTTGAGCAGCGAGAACATGGCCAGCACCGGCTTCCCCTGCCAGACCTGCCTGGGGTCTCTGTGAGCTGACCTGGACTCACCATCACAAAAGAATCTCAGCGACGGAAAGCGTGAATCCGGTACAAACCCAAGCGCCCCGTCCGTTCAGATGAAAACAAGAATCACGGCAGTTCAGAGACGGTGGGGAAGCCTCTCCAAAACCAGCCAGGTAAGACCACTTTCAGGAAGTCCCTCCTACCCTGCCCCGTCCATCGCCTCGAAGCTGTGGTTTCTTTCTCTTCCCCAACCTTAAATTAAGGTGGCGGCTGCTCCCTGCGGTGTACTCCCTTGATATTCACTGGTGCTCACTGGATGGGAGGCCCCTGTTACTGCACACGGTGTCACCGGCGCGTACTTCTGGTGGCGAAGCAGCTCCCTGTCCCCTGATGAAGGCCTGGCCAGCCTCAGGGGCAGACAGCACTGCAGCATTCAGCAGTCCTCGCCAGACGTTGTTATAAACAAAAGCCGGAGAGCCAGAGCTACCAGAGTCAGCAAGCCCTGGACACAGAATGAAAGGGCCACCCCTCACGGTGCCGATGTCAACGGTAAGAACTAAACTCGAGGGGTCCTTCCTATCACAGAGAAGCTGCTGACGCTCACCCCAAGGCCTCTCTCAGCAGAGCAGATGTTTCTCCCCACATCCGAGTTACACGTGCTGGTTTCACACCATCTGCTTTCAGGAAGGGTCTACCTGGGTCAGTGACTGCTGTTCACTTTGAGAATTGCACAAAAGCACTGATTTTTACTTGAGGGCACGTAAAAAAATATAGGGTGTTAATAACGGCTGAGCACGACTTAAATCCTGTGAAGTTCGGCCCTGGCAAGGACACGGGCACCGAGAGCTCGCAGCAGAGCTAACGTCGCATTATCACCTTGCACTTCGTGGGCACCTAAACTACTCTGCACCGCAGGTGCGCCCCAGGGCACTCGCTGGTGGAGCCTCTCACCCCCACTCCCCTGGGACCTACGATAACGATGACTGTGCCGTCGAGGCCAACGCCTGCGAATGCGAGAGGACACGACGCAGACCCGGCAAGACTGAAGACTGGGGCTCTTCAGAGAACCGTCTGTGAAGTCAGGGGCTGCTCCAGTCCACGCTGAGGACACGCCCTCCCAGGCAGTGGGCACACAGGAACACACCATGTGCCCAGCCTGCTCAAGGTGGGCCAGGCCTGTGCCTCGCACGCAGCCCGGCCTGAGGAGCAGGTCTTAGCAGCACACAGTCCCCGTTGAGCACAACTGTGGATTTATCCGAAGGTTCAAGGGCCTTCACAAAGCTCAGGAACCCTGTGGTGCTCGCACTGCACTAGCAGGGACCAAACCGCCCACCCTTGCCAAACCCAGCCTGGACTCGGGGCTGCTCATCCTTCCCACGAAACTGGCCAAAAGTGAGACCTGCTCAGAGGATGAGAAGCCAGAAGCATCCCGTCTACAGGCGGGAGCTGTGCTGGGCTGGATCCTAGGCAGGCAGCAGCCCACCCTG